ATCAAAAGGTAATTTGCAAAAAAAAAAAAAAAAAAAAAAAAGAGCCCTCGTTTTTGGCAGCATGTGCGTTGGCCGTCACCTTCTACCGATTTCCTCACCTGAAACTCTTTTGTAAGCCGAGCTCCTGTTGACATCAGCCTGCAGGGCCCCTCCCCCGCCAGGGGCAGCACGGACTCAGCCTGCAGAGCCAGCCCTGCGAGCAGAGCAGCGTGGGCAGCCTGGGGATTGGCTCCTAGATCTCTTCCTCGAGGGCAAGATTGTCCTAAAAAATCAGGAAGTGGCTAGTGTTGCTCAAAGCTACGTCTTGTTCTCACTCAGCGTCTGTTGAGGGCAGACTTCCAGGGGAAGATAACCCTGCTGTTTTCAAGAAAAGTTAAGTGGCGTTTACTGACCAGAGTGTCCCCATCCGTCCACCTGGTGAATCTCCTCTCAGCCTCCATTTCAGCTCTACTGTGACTTACAAATGCTGTAAAAGTTCTCGTTTCATCCTGTGTTAACTGGTGTGAGGTTTGATTCTCACGACTTAGGGGAGGAAAATTCAGCCATAGGCATTTTACTCAAAAAATTGTGATTTACAGTTTTCAAACAATGTGGATGGATAATAAATTATTAGTCTGATATTTAAAAAATTTTGCCTTTGAAATGACTAGATTACTGTTACTTAAAGTAAACATAGTATATTTTGATTTTTATTGCTATAAAATATTATACAAACTAACAAAGATTGAGTTTGGGGGAAGACCTGCTCTTTGCTGATCCTGCTAAAAACCAGGCGCCTGGAGCTGGGGCAGGTCAGGGCACGCAGCTCCCCTCGCTCTGATAGGAAAGAAAGTCCATTCTGTTTGACGTAGACCATTTCTCTTGTTGGGAAACCTGATGAAGTATCGCATAAACTTCTGCAGCGAAAGCAAATGGAAGGACACCTGAGACGCGTTCCAGCCCCACAGATGACTGTGTGGCCGGCCCACCGTGGGGCTCTTTATGGCCCGGCCAGTCTCTGAAATGGGAAACGAAAGTGCATGACTCATGCTTGGCCTGGTCTTGCTGAGGAGAACTTCTGAGGCACACGGGGAAATTGGGAGCCTGCGGGAGCTTTTGTATTTTATTTAACCAGTATTGTCATACCTGTTTTTAATTGAAACATACTAGTATTTCTAGATAAGCCAGTTTTGTTCTGAAAGTGTGAAATTAGAGTAGTTTTAAAAATTTAGTCCAAATCAATGTTAAAAACCTGTTACGTTTATAAGTATATGCACAGTTGATTTGTTGAAGTAAGAGTCTATACTTTTAAAAGCTGTGTTTTTTAAGTGGCATTGTTATATTTGTTCTGCTGCGTTCTGCAGAGTTTGGTAAATATAGATAAACCAGTAATTATTTTAAGCCATTTACTTGTGAGTGCAGAAGCCCACCTGACTGAAGTGGGTGGGGCCATCTGAGTGCCCTGCGGTCAGGTGTGCAGGCTGCAGCCGCGCAGTCCCCTCGGAGCTGGCCTGGGGCTGAGCTGGGCCCATGTGTGGCTGTGTTGGGCGGCCTCACCTGCCGTCTGTGTGAGCTGTGTGGGAGGTCTGCTTCTTGTGCCCACACGGCAGTGTGCCCTCGCGATAAAGGAGACAGGAGGGATCTCACGCCCTAGGTAGACCACTGCGCGCCGTGCACAGTTGTTTCTGCTTCGTGTTACTCAGAAATAGCGCCCCTTCTAGGGCTCCCATGACACACAGTCTCTTTAAGAATCATTGCTCTGTGGCCAGCAAACACAGGGACTGAGATGTATGGACTGGCTTCACCACAGCTGCCCGACCAATTAGAGCTGCTGGGGTTCCGCAGACCCACCTGAGGCTGAACACAGAGGAGGGGTGCTTGGAGGTGAGTGTGAGCACGGTTTCACATGGTTCTCATTGTGAGAGGGGCCCTGCAGGTGGCGGGGCGGCCCGAGCTTGGCCTGGGCCCCTCAGGTGACTAGCAGATAGCTGTGAGAAAGAATGTGAAGCCCCTTCCGTGTGGCTGTCAGCTGTGGTTTTAGGTGAGGGGGCTGGAGGGAAGGGAAGTAATACATACAACAAAATTAGAAACGAACCCAAACACAGTCTTCTATTAATATTTTGGCACAACTGCAACATGAGCTTAAAGACTCGAAGCTCAGTTGTCTTTACTCAGTTCTGCAGAGCAGGTGCACCCTCAGACTGGGCTCCCCTGATGGCTTTCACTGCTCTGCACACCTGCACTGCACTGGTGGGTGGCAGAAAACATGACTTGTGATTTTTCTTAGTGGCTTTGGCTGCACCAAGAAAAGCTCGGTTGAAATTGGACTCAGCCTGCCCTAAGCAGGGTCAGAGTGTCCACACACGGGTGGCCTGGGAGTCCGAGGGGGCCTGGGCCTGATCCAGGGACACTCTTGGTCTGGCCACCTTAGAGGAGTTGTTTAAACTGACTCATAACTTAGCAGTGAGTCATTACAGGGATCATGGCCAGCTTGTAGGGTGCCAGGTGATTTTAAGTTTCTTCTCTGTATTTGTTCCGTTCTCTCCTCATTAATCAGTGTTCCATAATTTAAAAATTGTAATTTACAACAAATAAATTGACAGGAAATTTCAAGAATTCAGTGTAAAATGTGAATTTTTGATAGTATTACCTGGACTCAAAGTCAGTAAAGACAAAAGTCCACATTTTTCTTGTCAGATGTAAAAGGAAAGCAGAAATTCTTGGTTAATCTCTTTTCCTAGATATGATTTTATGGGTTAAAAAAAGGTTCTTCTTAGTATGTAAATGTAATACTTAAGATTCCATTAATTCTGAGAATATGTTTAGAATAAAATACCAAATATTTTTTGTTAAGAACAACAGTCATATAATTTTTAATTATTATAAGATCACATTAATGCAAGTCTTGATCAGTTTAATGATTTCTAATATTTTGTTAACAAAAGCCATTATGATGTTGAAATAGACTCAATTAATTTTAAGGGGCCGGCTCCGTGGCCTAGTGGTTAAGTTCACGTGCTCCACTGTGGCGGCCCAGGGTTCGGATCCTGGGCGCGGACATGGCACTGCTCGTCAGGACACGTTGAGGTGGTGTCCCACATCCCACAGCTAGAAGGACCTGCAAATAAGGTATACAACTGTGTACAGGGGGGTTTGGGGAGATAAAGCAGGAAAAAAAAAAGAATCAATTAATTTTAAAATGTTCTTCCTAAAGTAAGATGAATTTCCTTTGGTTTTAAGCCTGACTTTTTTTTTAAAAGATTTTATTTTTGCTTTTTCTCCCAAAGCCCCCTGGTACATAGTTGTGTATTTTTAGTTGTGGGTCCTTCTAGTTGTGGCATGTGGGATGCCGCCTCAGCATGGCTTGATGAGCAGTGCCATGTCTGAACCGGCGAAACTCTGGGCTGCTGAAGTGGAGCGTGCAAACTTAACCACTCGGCCACGGGGCTGGCCCCCTTAAGCCTGATTTTTTAAAAAAATCTCTTTTTGGCTATAGTTTGTCATATAACAAAGAGTTTAGAGAGGAAAAGGAAATGACTTTCTGTTAACAGAGTTTTGCTGAAATTGCTTTCGGCTTCGGCTGGTAGAAGGAATGATAATAGGAGGGACCCTAGTCACTAGTCTGACACGGGTCTCACTGGGCTGGAACCAAGGTGTGGAACCGACTGGTTCCAGGGGGAAGCTGATTCCCGCCTTTTCCAGCTTCTAGAGGCTGCCTCGGTCCAAGGCTCGTGACGCTTCCTCCACCTTCAAAGCCAGCAGCTTCTGGCTGAGTCCCTCTCAAGCTGCATATCTCTGGTTCTTCCTCTCCTGCCTCGTGGTCCCATTTCTAAGGACTTTTGTGATTACACTGGGTCTGCCAGAATAATTTCCCTCTCGTAAGGTGCGTTGATCAGCAAACTTAATAGCATCCACAGCCTTAACTCCCCTTTGCCAGGTGATGCCCCACGTTCACAGGTTCTGGGGATTAGCACCTGGACGTCTGTGGGAGGGAGCAGTGAGCTGCCCGACATGGGGGTGTCCACAGACATGGTCAGCTGGAGGGATTGACTGGGTTCAGGAAGTTGTTGCTTAGGCCGAAGAACTAGAAAATGCAGGTGTGCCACCTGGAGTGTCCCAAGAACTGGGTGGGAGGAAGAGGTTCAAGATGTAGAAACAGGAGTGGGGGTAGTGTTAGGCCCCCAGCTGTCAGGTGGGTGGGTGGGCAACATCCCTTTGAGGTGACCTCTGTGTCTCTTGAAATACCCTTTTTCAAAACATTTTCTTTGTAGGCTGATAGGAGATGCAAATTCTCAAGTTTCACTTAGAAACAACACTTGGTCTCTACTCCTGCCCTGAATCCTTTATTTTCTGTTGTCACTAAAGCCATGCAAAGTCAAATGAGTACTTTCTGGTGTATCCGTAGCAATTAAATGTGATGATCTAAGGAAGAGAGATTTAAATGAAGCCTGATGAATGTTACCGGTTTGGGAAGGCTTCTTCTGAGTGTGGTCGTGTTTTGGCTTGGGCGGCCATGCCATCTGTAGGACTTTGTGTGAGCCCTGAGAGCTGGTTTCTGTGCTTGGCTGGGCGGTTTCTGGGGTGGCTGCTCCCGCAGAAGAGGCTCCGCTGCTGCCTGTGGTTTCTCTGTCTGTGCTTGCTGTCCACTAAGCAAGGCTCTCGCCTCGGCCCTGAAGCATCTCTGTCAGCCACGCCCATTCTCCCCACCCTCATGCTGCCAGTTCCCCACCTCTAGGGCACCCTGCTTCCATGAGATGCCACCAGAGAAGGCTGAGCATGGCTGCCTCTGAGGCCCCATGCACAGCAGCCTTGGATGGCGCTCAGGCGTGCCCCATTGGGTGGCTCTCATCAGCCTCAGGGGTGGCCACCCTCAGTGCCCTCTCAAGTGTCCCTCCAAAGCCTGCAGTGAGCGAAGGGTCATGAATGAGCAAATGAAAGACCAGGCCGTCTCGTCAGTCTCCCAGGGTCTGTGTTCTTTGGCAGCTTTCCTTTTAATTAGTCATTTTCCCTCTTTTTCACAGTGCGCTGGTGATTGCTGCAGTGTTCGACCGCAGTGTAACCTGCAGGAGAGCAGCCTCTGTAAGTTTCCCCGTTTTGTTCCTTTTCATACCGGTGTGGGGCAGGCGCTGAACCGTGAGGCTCCACCAAGCCGCGTGCTCTCCCCACTGCTGCCCAGCTGCTCACTTGTCAGCAGGAGTGACATGAGGGGAGCTGATGAGGGAACCGTTGAGGGCGGCTCCTGGGGAAGCCACGCCCTGGAGTGCAGTTCTTGTCCTCTGGGTAGCCTGGGAAGGGTGGGTCAGGATCAAATGCCCCCACCCCAAGCATGCGGAGAACTGCTGCCGTCTCTGGAGCATCATAGGTGGATGACCAGACACAGCTCCAGGTGGCCCGAGCTCTGAGGAAGAAAGAGAAGGTGGGTTCTGTGAGTATGACGTGGTGTGACGCAGATCAGGCTGCTCCGAGCCTCAGGAGGAGCCGTTGTTGAGCATAGGTCAGCTTGGCTTCACGTGGTCACTTCACTCGGTTCAGGGCCTCTCACTGGATGTGCCTGGCGGCGCCAGCATAGCCTGATGTGTTTGAACACTGATGCCTGGCTCCCCAGATCCCTGTCACGTTGGGGGGCATTGCGGATGCGAAGAGCTTTTCGCCGGCTCCACAGCTGCATCTTAAAGGCATTGACCAGGAGTCTCCGCATGGCTACCTCACTGCTTCTCCGACAAAGCGAGGCTGCGGCCCTGAGCTCTGGCTTTGGGAGGTTCCTGGGGATGCCGGTGACAGGTGATGGCTGCAGGGCTGTGTCCCCAGGTTGTTCTCTGGGGATGTTGATGGTTGTGCTCCAGCTTCAGGCGTGGCTGTCTTCCTGATGGTCAGTCACTTAGATCAGGCTCAGACTCACGGGCTGATGTAGGTTGTGAGGGAATGGCAGACCCTGGCTCTGCAGAGAGCTTGGCAGCTGAGCCTGCAGACCCGTTTGAAGACGAGAGCCTCAGTTTTAGGTACAGACAAGCAGCTGCGCAGGCTCTGAGAGGTGAAGAATGGACACAGAGGCAGCACTTGAGAAAGATGCAGCGGCGACGCTGGCTCTGGGCGGTGGGCAAGGTGAAGCCGGGAGGGCTCTGGTGCTCTCCGCAGCGTAGTCAGGGTTAGCAGGAGAGTGCTGAAGGGGCGACTATCTGACTAGGAGACCAGCGGGAGGCAAGGGCCTAGTTGAGAGGTAAGCTGAAGAGAGGCTGGCTGAAGACGTGCTGGGACCAACTGGTGAGGAGTTTCCGTAGGCCCGCAGTGTGGTCAGAGACGGGGTGTGGTGGGTCTCGTTTGATGTGACGTGAATGGTCCTGTGGACGGTTGGGCTGAGGGGATGGAGAGGGTGCCTGGAGGGGTCAGGTTGTAGGTCCCCAAGTGGGGAGTGGTCCCCCCCTTGCCTGGGGGCTCCCACTGCGTCACAGGGAGGCCGATTTTCCTGTCTCAGGAGCAGTTGGCCCCCAGCTGGACGGGTGGGCGAGTGCAGAGAGGGCCTCGCTGGGGAGCACTCTGCCCACAGGCTCGGAGGCTGAAAGCAGGTGTTCAGGAGAGGAGTGAGCACCCATCATTGGGGGTCTGTTAGTAGAAGGTGAGCGAAGCAGCTGGGCCTCGGGTGCAGGAGGTCCAGGCAGAGGCTGTGCAAGTTTGTGAGACAGACGTAGGTGAGGTGTCTGTATGGAAGGAACTTAAAGTCCTCACTTCGTGCTTACTTGTTGAAGTGCATGCTGACGGTTTGTGCACTTTTCCGTGTGTGTGCTATACTTCAGGAGGTTTTTAAAAAATTAACCGAAGGAGACATTGTGGAGGAGATTCTGAAGCAGTGATGGTGGGCAGGTACAGGTTGAAAGTTTAGTTTGTAGGAGACGTTGTTGACTTTGTGCCTGGCTATGTCAAAGGTGAGAACTAAGACTTGATGGCGGAACACAAAGTGCATGCAGACTTCCTCCAACAGATGAGGTGCTGTCCTGAAAGTGGGGTGTTGGAGAATCACTGCCATGCTGGGGATGTTCCCGTGCCCTCAGGAGATAGCCAGTCTGACATGTGGACATGTTTTGGGGTCCTTAGTGTCATGCTCAAGCTTGGGGCCTTCATGCTTGGAGGTGAGGGCTGACAACACAGGCTGGAGTGGCTGGGGATCCCGGGGAAGGACCGGCTTAGGTAGGAGAGGACAGTTGGAGGGCAGTGGTGTGGCCATCCAGGCCAGGTGCCCATGTGAGTGGTTGTTAAAATGGGGAGGGCACTTCCTGCATCAGCCACTGTTAGACCCCACTGCTTCTGCAGAAATCCCAGCAAGTGTGGCCTGAGCACGGGAGGGCTTCTTTCTCTCCCGCAGGAAGGATGCCCGCAGAGGGGCCTGGGGCCTGGGTGGCGGCATCCTGGTCACAGTTCTTTCTCCTCTGCCTTGCTCAGGCTATGGCTTCTGTGCTCACCGGCAGGAGAGCCTGCCCAGGGCTGAGTCACCCTCTTCACATGCTTTCCAGAGCCCCCGCACCACCAGAGGCCCGTGGGAGGTGGATTCCTGGTTCCCAGAGCCCTGCACGTGGGTTCCCTGAGGCTGTGGATCGCAGTGGCTCTGAGGCGGACATGGCCAGCTGCTGCCACACACACAGCTCGCCTCTGTTAGGAGGAAGACGTGGCAACAGAGGAGCCTTCACCTCACTCTTCCTTTGAGCTCGTTATCAGGTCTGGTGGTGCGGCCTGTGTGTGTTCCTTGTAGTTCTCTATGTACAGGATCCTGTCATCTGTGAATAAAGAAAAGTCTACTTTTTCCTTTCCAATCTTGATTCTTTTTATTCTTTTTCTTGCCTGACCCACTGGTAAGAGGAGCTGCCGGTACGCTGTTCAGTAGAAGTGGTGAGAGTGGATGTCCTTGCCTGTGCTGATCTCAGGAAGCTCTCAATCTTTCACCATCAAGGACGCTGTTAGCTATGGGTTTTTCGTAAATACCCTTCAGCAAGTTGAGGAGTTCTGTAGTTTGTTGGGTTTTCTTTATCATCACAAAAGGATGTTAGATTTTGAGATGGTCATGTGGGTTTTGTCCTTTATTCTGTTAATGTGGAGTATTGTATTAATTGATTTTCAAATGTTAAAATGACCTTGCATTCCTGGTATACACTTGACCTCGGTATAATCCTTTTTTTGTATGTTGCTGGATTTGGTTTGCCAAAGTTTTGTTGAGAAATTTTGCGTCTGTATGCGTAAGGGATATTGGTCTCTAGTTCTGATTGGTTGTGATATTTTGTCTGGCTTTGGAATTAGGGTCATGTGGCCCCATGGAAGGAGCTGGGAGTGTTCCTGCCTCTTCTCTTTTGTAGAAGAGTTTTTAAAAGATCAGTACTGTTTTGTTTCACTTTAAATGTTGGGTAGAAATATCTAGGCTTGTTTTGGTTTTTGTTTCTTGGGAAATATTTTAAATTATTCATTCTGTTTCTTTACTTGCTAGAGGTCTTTTCAGCTTTTCTGTTTTCTCTTTAGTGATGGCATTTCTCTGTTGCATCCAAGTTGCTAAACGCAGTGATCAATCCTGGAGCATGCTCCACCGGCCACATCTTGTTCTCTTTTCCTGTCACACGTCACCGCATGGTGTTTCCAGGTTGCTTCTGGGCCTGCTCACTGTCTGGTTTCAGTGCAGCCCTTGTGCCCAGATGCTGGCCCTCTGTCTCTTCCTTAGCCGCCCATGCTTGGCAAGGTTGGTGACACGCGGTGGGAGCTCAGTAGGTGTCTGTCTTTTTTTTGTTTTTTGCTGAGGAGGACTCTCCCTGAGCTAACATCTGTGCCAGTCTTCCTCTCTTTTGTCTGTGGGATGCTGTCACAGCGTGGCTGACAAGTGGTGTAGGTCTGTGTCCAGGATCTGAACCTGCAAACCTGGGCTGCCAAAGCAGAGTGCTCTGAACTTAACCACTATGCTGTGGGGCCGGCCCAGATGTCCCTCTTATGGATGGACAATGTGAGACCAGAGGTCAGCGCTGCCTCCTCTCAGAGCAGGAGCCCAGTGAGAGGGTGTCCTGATTGTCGGTGGTTTCTGATGGCCTGCCCCTCTCCTGTCTTGAGAGAGCAAAATGCTCCTGCTCTGCCCAGGCTCTTTTAGACTTTGTTGTTTCAAGAGTTTGCCGGGAGAGCTCAGAGCTTCCTCTGGCTTCCTGTAGTTTCTTTCCTTTTGTCGTGAGCCTCAGTAGAAAGCTCAGTGGTTCTTTGAGGAGTCTTCACCTTTTGCCCTGATGTTAACCCACAGGCAGTAATTGTAAGACTCGGAAATACAGTGTCGACGAAAATAATCCATAACCAATCTATAAATGAAAATTTGGGTGAGTTTATTCTGAGCTTAAATCTGAGGATTATAACCCAGGGCCTTTCTTCCCGAAGGAAGAAAGGGCACCAAAGAAGTGGGGTGCACAGAGTGGTTATGTACCCCCAGAGAGGATGTTTCACATGATTGAAATGTCCCTTTTACAATAGTGGCGAGACTGCTCTGTCGGCACAGCGATTGCTGGAAAAAGCAGGTAGGTCTTCTGTCTCAGTGAACGCAGCAGGGTGGCAGTCTGTTGTCTCCAGCTGGGTGGTCACAGGTGAGCTGGGTGGTCAAAGGTGAGTGCAGCAATCAGTTCCTAGCCTAAGGAAAAAGGCTAATGTGGGGGGAAGTTGCACCTTTATCTCAAGGGCCTTTGTTCTGGCCATAGGAAATGTCTAAGCAGATATGCAATGCGTGCTCAAGCCCTTTTGGAAAAAACAAAGTCAGGCCGAATTAGGTTTATACCAAATGGCTTCCTCATATACTCCAATATATCCTATTGCTTGACATTTTTATTTGTCAACAGTAAGAATCTTTTGTTGAATCTGTACTTATAAATTAACCTCTGTATTTTCTTTTCTGTTTACTGTAGTATGAGACATTTTTGCAGGGAGCAGTAGCAGAAATCAAAGCGCTGATCCCTTTATGAACGCTGGGGAAGAGGTGAAATAAAACAGTAGAAATATTTTTTTCTTTTTAAAGTTAAAACTAAAATCCTTTAAAATTAGGGGGAAATTCTTTGCACTGAACACCATGCGAGGGTACCCTTGCTTTCTCAGTAGATGCAAAATTAAAACCGTGAAAGGTAGAAGATGCGTTTGTTTGAAGCTCATTTGAAAATGTAAGAACTGGGTGCCTCGTAGTTGGGAATAACTTTTCTCTTACCGTGAAGCTGCTTCCTCAGGTAAAGATGCATTTTCCTGTTTGTGCTCTTGTTTGTGCTCAATGTTTCACGCTCTCCGTGTGCCAGGCCACCCCTGCTCACAGGCGGTGGTCACTGAGGTGAGGAGGGCCTGGGCCCATGCATTTGCCTGCAGGTGGGATGATCCTGTGCACCCGCCAGGGCTGGGAGCAGCCCAGGGACCCTGGGGGCTCTTCCCCTCCATGCTGGAGAGCTGATGGGCGCGGGGGAAGGTTTTGGGATTTGCAGGTGGGGGGACGCCCCCCCCCCCCAAGTGGTCCCTGAAGCCATTGCTGCCCTGACTTCTGTCTTGACCCGTCATGTGCTGATGGTGCGCGGTAATGAGGTGGCGGCTGTGCAGCTGCACTCGACACCTCATTTGGTCGCTAGTGTCCGTGTCTCCAGCTCCGTCTGGGCTGCTTGGAGCCCCGGCTGCTTTCGGAAAGCTAAGTTGAAGGTTCCAGCTGGGCGATAAATGGGAAGGGAGCCATTGCTTGTTGCTGTGCAGGCCCTGCCGTTGTCACCACTTGGACAGGCTGCTCTGGCCAACCTGGCTGTTACACCGAAGCAGGGCAGGTGTGGAGGTGGAGGAGGCAGGAGCACCAAGGAAGTGAAGAGGCATTTTAAGGAAAGTCCACACAGAGACACCTCATTCTGAGTTAATATTTTGACCGTCTCATGAGCCCTGCTCTGGGCCTGGTGCGAGCCTGGGCACTCGCTGTGGCAGCTCCCGGGCTGGCTGCACGAGGAGCCAGGCCCTTCCAGCATTTGCCATCACGTGAGCTGGAGTCTGAGAGTCCTCAGGATGATCATGTGGGGCTGGGCTTCTATTTAACCCGTGTGGGTGGCTTTATTCCCCTTTAGTATCTGGGACCTTAAATGAGGCTTGGAGTGGAGCTCAGTGTTCACTGTCGAAGGCTGCTTTCCAGGATGTGCCTGATTTTGTAAACTCGAATTCTTAAATTGTGGTTTTAAAAAGCACCAGGACACAGAAATGGAATGAGGCTCGAGGCTCTGATCACTAACAATGAGGGCTCTTATTTGAGAAGATGAAGCCATGGGTCATTTGTTTGTTTTGAATCTATCTCCCGATGTTCAACAGAGTGCAAAAGCTAACTCACCTGCTGTTTGTTCTCTCTGTTCCTTAGGCTGCTTTCCAGGAGAATGTGGGAAGACAGGTACGGTCACTTTTTAAAATCTTCATTTTAAAACTTCCTGTAGATTTAGAGGTAGAAATATTGAAGCTGCAAACTTAGCATCTTCTTGGTTGTTAGATGTGGGTAAGAATTTACCTAGAATAAGCTAATACTTAACAGTGACTTCTGGTCACCGATTTGCTCATAACATGACTCAGGTGAGTGTCGATACAAGTGTTAACAATTAGTAGTGTGTCTTACAGGAAACCTGAATGTATAGGTAATTTTACAAATACACACATCAGAAATCAGTGCCTTTCACATTGCTGAGGGCCACCCAATTTCAGCAGTTGCCTGTGGGTGCTGGAGAGGTGTAAGTGGTGGAGCTCGACGTCACAGGGACAGAGATCTGACCCCTGCCCATCCCACGTGTGGTAGGAACCAGCTTCCAGAAGCCATCAACTCTACATCCCCTCTTGATGCTTGTCAGCATCATCGCACCCCCTGGCCCTGAACCTCTCATCACCAGTCAGCCTTGACTGGGAGGGGTGGCCCCTATCCTCTAGTTATTCATTGTGTGTGACAGTGACCCCCTGCCAGGACATGTGGCCCGCCTAGTGCAGAATGTGCGTGAGGTCATGTTTCGGGGGACACCGGGCTGATCGGGGACGGAAGTCAGGCCACAGGACCTGACGGGAGCCATGCAGAGCTCGCTCAGGAGGGAGGAACCGAGAGGCGAGGAGAGGTGGGTATCAGAGAGAGAGGCCTTGGATAAATCACAAGAATCCAAGAGTGCATGCCCGGACATTTGGGAGGAGAATGTGCGAGCAGGGACTGCACCCCATCTGCCCTCCAGGTGCCCCCGTGTCTGTTTGGGTCCTTGAAGCAGAACCAGCCTCACTGTCTTGAACCCAGGGGCCTGCATTTGTGGGAAGATTCCCCTGGAAGCAGGGCAGGAGGAAGTCCCGCCTGGGGTTCTGCAGCTGGCCGGGGGGCATGTGCTGCTTTGCGCTCTTCTGGGGGCACCTCAGTTGTTTGAGGCTCTCTACCTGGAGGCCTGCCCTGTGCCGGTGGCTCTAACTTGCGCACACAGTTGTCGGCGGGTGGGGGGCCCCAGAGGGAGGTTTTCTAACATGGTTGCAGAACCCACTTTGAGAACCGTGGCTCTGAACCTCCCTCCAGGGCCGGCCATTGCTATTCTGTGGACAACCACTGCCTTTTCTCTTGCGCTTGCCTTAGGATGTTGTGCTCCTCTGAGGAGGGGACCCGGTTCTGATGGGCTATTCTACCTCCTGTCTCCCTCCTGGGTGTGGTGGCCTTTGGAGCCTGCTGTGACCATTGGGCCCCCTGGCTGCATGCAGCGGAGGTGTTCTGAATCCTCCTGGGGGCTCGATCCCTCTGGGTCCTTGCCTCCGGGTCAGGAGAGCGCATCGCTGGGCTGGGAGCAGAAGATCAGAGGCTAGGGTGCTGGGCAAGGTTGGGAGGCGCCTCTCAGCACGTGGGCTGGTATTGGTGAGTGGTTCCCCAGCAAATGAGGTGGGAGCAGAGAAAGGAGTCAGTGGGGACTCAGGCCAGTGGGACAAGGCTGTGGAGGGCAACCGTGGGGAGGTGAGGCCACGGTGAGTGCTCACTGAGGTGAGGAGCCTGCCTTGGTTGGGGTGGCTGTCCGGGTGGCTGACCTGCTGACCTTCCTGCGAAGGTGACAGAGCAGCAGGAGGGGAGGCACAGCCGGAGGTTCTGCGACCTGTGCTGCTTGGACAGCTGGGTCTGAGTGTGGCCATGCGGGTAGAGGGGGCGAGCTGGGGAGGTGAGGGGTCCACTCTGGAATGCAGAGTTAAGGCGAAAGTGGTGCCAACATGAGTCCAAATGGAACTTGGATGCCAGGGTCGTCTCGAAAGGTTAGGGGGACTGAAACCCACATCCTGCACTTTCTGAACTTGTGTTCCATTGAAACTCTTGAGAAGCTGAGACCCGGTGTCCTTGGTGTCACTCAGGCCATGTCTCCCTGGAGCCTGAAAACTCAGGAGAAAGCTGTTCCCTAGGAAAAGACGGCTGTCTCTGAAGGGTGGCAGGTGTGGAAAGCTCCAGAAAATGGTGCCACTCCGGGCTGGAGGCAAGAGCTGGACAAGGAAGAAACAGGCCAAGGGTTGGGACCGCAGGGAGGGTGGCCACTGTGCTTAGGAAGGAACCTGCTGGAAGCTGGACCAAGGGAGCACCAGAGTCGCCCCTGGAGTCAGAGCCCAGGAGAAGAGAAGGCCCCCGCCCTGGCCTTTAGCTCCCGCAGCTGCCCATTGGCAGCCCAGCCCCAGAGCTGTACCCGAGTCCAGAAGAGCAAGGGCTGTCTGGAGCAGGGGCGGCCTTGGTCCCTGCGTGGTCGGATTTGAGCTGTGTCCTCTGCATGTGGCACTCAGGTTGGGGTGGCCATCAGGGAGAGGAAAGGCCTTGAGCTGTGGTCTGAGTTTAAGCCAGCAACCAGGAGCTGACCTTTCCGGGGGCACGTCCCCACCCGCCTCGGCTTCTTCTCCACACACTGACCTTATGGGTAAAGCCAGCGTGCGCTGCGGTCTGGGGTCCAGGGGAAGCTGCACGAGTGTTTGAGGGATACAACTTGGAGAGATGTGCAGCCCCATGTGGACCCAGCATGTGCTCGCACCTGTCCTCGGCGCTGTCCTCCTGCAGCTTGGCAGAACCTTGGAGAGGAAGGATGCAAACTTACTCAAGCAGACAGGCACGCACTTCTGGGGAGGGGGCGTCACTCCCGGGTTTGTGCCGGACTGATTTGGGGTGAAGTTATTATGGCCCCGGATGGGTGTACCCTGGCTCCAGTGGTGCAAGCACAAGACGCTGTCTTTGGCTACTGTAAGCACAGGGAAATCTTCAGGAGGAATTTGGTGGGGGGCCCAGGGCTGCAGGGCTGACTTCTCCATCCAGGCTCACGCCAGCCTGTTGGAGACTCAGGTCCGGACCCCAGAATTGGCATGGCTCTGTCCACCCCCACGCAGCAGGGAAGGGGTCGTGGGTCCCTTCTTTGCTGAGCGCCTGGACTCCTGGGGAGAGGGTCTCTCCTGGGGGGAGGTGGTCTCTGCTCGGGGGCCTCCTGTCAGTTAAGGGGCGATGAGCTAACCCTGCATCTAACCCTGCCGACAGCGCTGCCCCCAGGACTTTGCTCTGGTGGTCACTGCCGATCAGGCAGCTGGCTTGCTCACACCAACGCCCTCCCTTTGCCCCTTTCCACCTGAGGAAACTGAGGCGCAGGGTGGCTGAGCCCCTGCTCTGACCTCTTGCTGTGCTTTGTCCTGGTTGTGAGCCGTGGGCACTTGTTCCTGGTGAGACCTGGTCCCAGGCCACCTCTGGATGTTGCCTGTAGCCCTTGTCTCAGTCATGCAGCAGCTGCAGGACCAGGGCCTTGCCAGGGCCATGCGGCACCTTTGTCGGTGTGGGCTCTTCTCCTCTCTCATGACTAGATACGAGTCCATGCTGGGGCCTGAGGCGCAGGTTTGTGGTGTCTCCACTGCTGTGCTCAGAGCTGTTTGGACGGTGATGTTTATGCACAGCGTTGTTGCCTGGGGATGTGAGATTTTGATGGTGAGGTGCCAGGATGGAGGAGAGTATAGAAGGTGTTAGGAGGGATCCAAGTGCTGGCCTGGAGAGTGGGCAGGCCTGGGTGGTGGGTGGAGCAGAGGAGGAGCACCAGCCTAGAGTGGCTCTGCACCTTGGGCTGGTCGGGGTTGGCTCAAGAGCTTGAAGACAACAGCAGGTAGACCAGGTGTCCAGGTTGCCCACTCGGGATGGCGGGGGGCGGGGGGGGTTCTCTTCTGCATTTAGCTAGGTTGTGAGATGAAGTGGCTTTTATGTGTCGCTTGAGAACCAGACCACTGTTTCTGACCTTGTTCCCATGTCAGCAAGTGTGCATCGTCCTACATGGCGGTGCAGCCCCCTCAGCTTATTGACTCGTGAGTTCAGACTCCTGCCTGCTTTGCATGTGAGGGAGCTTCCGCCCATTTCCATTTCGTGGCTTGGGCGTTACCAGCCTCCACCCTTTGAGATGGGGGACAGAGGTGGGTGTCCCCTGAGCCTTCCTCGCGTCCCTCCTGTGGTTGAGGGTCGTGAGGCTTTCGCTCATCCGTTGTAAGTTTGTCGTTTATATCTTTTTAGAAAACTGTTTACTTTGTCTACAGCTCTTCAGATATTCTCATGGACAGTGGTATCAGCAGCGACCTGCGGACTTCGGGGCTGGGCCTCGACTGGGAGAATGTCGTGGGTGTGGGTGGCACCCTTCCCTGACTCCCCGTTTCAGAGCCTGCTGCTGGGTGTCAGCTGTCAGGCCCCCTTGCGGGCCTCATTCCTTGTCCGGACCACTGTGTGGTAGGCGGGCTCTTGTCTGGGTTTCACAGACCAGGCAGGCGCCCGCCACTGTGAGCGAGTGCTGGGGTTCTCTCCTGGGCGGGGCGTAGGTTGGCTGCAATCAGTAACTTTGATACTGTTAAAACCTGATGTCGCTTTCTGCTGTGTGGTTTAAAGAAAGGTCTCTTACAAGATTTTAAAGTTGAAATGTTTGAGTTGCTTGGAAAAAAAATATTTTTAAGTGGTTCAAATAATTTTAGCATGTTGTCCAGCCTGGGATAGGTGGTCAACAGGGGACTGGACTGGAAAGCTCTTGGGTGGGCACAGTTAAGTAGTCGTAGTTTTAGCTCTTAGTGTTATATCGTGACTCTTTGTGTAAATGTAAATGTGTATGAATGTGGTTACTGAACTTCTGGAAATGCCATTACTTGTTCATATCATTTTCATCCTTTTTTTCTACTCTTTCCTTAGGGCACTTTCCCTCATGGAATTGATATTTTGACTGCTGCAGACTACTTTGCCGTTGGTAACAGATCCAACTGTTTCCTGGTTATCAGGTAAGTGTTTAATAGGCATCACAAAATGTAACATTCTCTGATTCCGATGTCAAAAGTCAGTTTCCACCGTTTTCTTTCTTCATCCTGGAATGTCCGCTAAGAGTAAATACAGTTTATGTGTGAAGAGCTAAAAATGGCATTGGAAGCTGTTACTGAAATGTGTTTCAGGTTGATTAGACGGCGTGCGTATGGTGTGGTTCCATTTACATGAAACTAGAAAGGCTAATCTGAAGGGACACAGCAGCTTGGGCGGGGCCCTGGGGGGCCGTGGGGTTTGAGAGTGAGAAGTTTGCTCGCTTCTTACAGGGGTTTCAAGCGTGGGAACTCGAAATGAACATTTTCTCTGAAATCGTCCCATCTGATTAGTGCTGTTTCTGTTGGTGGCTTGGTCCTTTACACAGAATAGCCACGAGCCAAAAGTGTGCACTGCCTTCTGAGTGACAGCTTTCCCCCTGGGTGTCGTAAATGTATTGAGTCTCTCAGAATGAAACCATGGATTACAAGTGACTGTTTCTTTTTCTGTTCAGTAAAATAGTGTTTCCCAAGTTGAAGTTACCTCTGGGTTGTGGATGAGTAAGAAAGAGGTATTTGAGAAATCAGGTCAAGAAATAAATATTTAACATCCCTAACTGCAGTTTGCAGAAATCGCATCAAAACTTTGACTTACAGACTTAAGTAACAGGGAAGTTTCTTCCCCCGTCTCATTAACCTGTTGCAACACCAGCACGAACAGGGCATGATTTCATGAAGTGATTTATTTGCCTTAAATTGGGAGTAGAAACATGCCCAGTGCATTTTGTTAAATTATTAGCTGCTGTGTGTCCTCTCTAACAACCTCCTTTGCAGATCGTGCAGAAACCACGTTTCTCCGTAGCCAGCATGGACAGAGTTTTTTAAAAATGTAGCATTTGGCCTCTTTCCCAGAGAAATCTGACTGAACCCACCATCTCTATTTTTAGTGTCTTTCCCATCTTGCTCAGCATTTAATGGCCTTCTGTGCCTTATCAGTAATTTCTTGTTTTCGCTGATTGTTAATATTTAAACACACATTTTAGGTGGAGAATCTACTACCTTTCCCTGAGTTTCGTAGTAAAATAACTAGTGGTTTTAGCCTTGGCGTGTTTTTCTTGTCACTCAGGTTTCTAAGCTGCTCTAAGACTTACTGTAATTTGTTGTCTTCATTTCATAGAGACATTTGGCAAAACTTGACCTTGCTCAGGGCGTGTCCTTTCACGGTCGTTTTGCGCACTTAGTATGGACGAGAGGTGGTCTGTGAGGGCAGCGTCGGTGGTCCTGGGGACTGGGGTCTGTGGCTGTACCCCATTGCCATGGGGCGCTTGGGGGGCTCTCCCCTCAACCTGAGGCAGGGCAGACACCCAGGGTCCTGCCGTCAGCCTGGATTGCAGGGTGAGGGAATCATGTGCCGAGGGAGCCTGGTGTGGGGGCACAGCCCAGGAAGGAAGGGTTCAGAGTCAGCGGGGCCCAGCATGGGGGCCTTCTGAGCCAAAATGATGAGTTTGGATTGTCCTGAGGTCACTGAACGCGGATTAATGGTCAGATCTGCATTTTGAACATCACTGTGGCTACATTTTGGTAACTGGAGGCAAGAAGACAGGGCTCTCACGAAGCCGGGGACGGTTGGTGGATGATCAGGGGAAGGTCAGCGGCCCTGACCAGCTGGGGGATGGTCAGAGGAAAGTCCGCGCCCCTGCCAAGGTGGGGATTGGTCAGGGCCGAGAGGTGGGTCTGCTGGAGCGAGTGGGCGTTGTCAGGAGACTGGAGGGGCTTTGAGAGCCAGAGGTGTCCAGGTCACTTGCAGCAGGGTGCACCAGTGAGGGGAAGCGCCTGTGGGTTCTGGGGAGGGTTGGGCGCTCCACTTGGCATGTGCTGAATGTGAGCGGCTCCCAACACGTCTGGGTGGAGGCATCGGCTGATGCTCAGATGGTCCTTCTGGAGTCTGGAGTTTTGACACACGTTGGGAGCAGCCGGGCAAAGGCTGTCGAGGGGCAGACCAGTGACGTCTTACCTTTATCTTCATTTCTGAAGCTTTCTTAAAGTGCTGATGACACACAGAAAAGTGTACATATTTAACGTGTGCATCTAATAAATCTGACGTGTATGACTCTCACCACAACCCAGATAATGGAAGTCCCATCCACACAGGTTTCCCTGACCCCCTTCTCCAGGCAGCCGTGTCTTCTGTCTGTGGATCAGTCTGCATTTTCTAGAATTAGGAGAACAGAATCACATGCACCCTTTTATTTATTTCTCCTCGCTTCTTTCACTCTGCATACTATTTTAGGTTCGTCTTTGCTGTGTGTGTTAACGATTCATTCATTCCTTTGTTGCTGACCAGTAAGCCATCGCATGGATGACCGTGTCTGTTGGTCCATTGGCCTCTTGAAGGACATCTGGGTGCCTCCTGTCGGGGTGATTACATGCGAGGCAGCCGTGAACATCCGTGTGCTTTCACTGATCTTTTTAGATACTTAGGAGTGCAATGGCTGGGTTCTCACTTTTTATAAGAAACTGCCAAGTGGTTTTCCAACGTGGCAGCACCATTTTCATGCCCTCTGGCCTTGAACAAGAGTTCTGATTCCTCTGTGTCTTCACCAGCCCTTGGTGGGGTCCGTCTTTAATTTTAGCCTTTCTAGTGGATGCGCAGGAAGAACTCATTAATTTGTGTTTTCCTCATGACTGATGACACTGGGCATCTTTTCATGGGCTTATCTGGCAAATCTCCTGTCTATTTACTTATTGGGTTAGTTGTTTTGCTTCTTATTGAGAATTCTTCATATATCCTGGATACAAGTCCTTTTTCTGGTACGTGATCTGCACGTAGTTTCTCCTAGTCTGAGACCTGTCCTTTCAGTATCCTGTATGTTCCCGTGACAAAACCTTTTTTAAAAAATTAGCTTTATTTTTGCACACCTCTTTTATTACATGTAGTTTACATATAGTAAAATTCACCAGTTTAAAATGTGGGTTTTGCAGATGTGTCACTACGGCTGCAGGCACTCCAGGAAGTGCCCTCGTGCCCCAGCCGCCCCTTAGCCGCCGTCTTTCACCGAGTTGATCTTTTCTAGAATTCCGGTCAGTGGGATCGTGTGTGTACTGTCCTTTCACTTTGCATCATTGATTCCTCGTACTCCTGAGTGTCGGTTGTCCAGTCCCTTCCGTTGCTGAGTGGCATCCACGCAAAGGAGTCCCTTGGCTTGTCTCCCGTTCATGTGACAGCCCTTTGGCCTTTGATGTTGTCACCAGGCACTACTGCTTCTGCTGGCTGTTTTCTCTGTGGCGTAACTTGCAGTTGCTAGCACTTCTTGTTGGTTTTTCTTCTTGCTGTTGTAAATTTCTTTAACAGATTTCTGATGTGTGCAGAACTGTGACCTTCTTAAAGGCATTTTGTCATATTTTGCTTTCTAGGAATCTTGTGTGTTCCTGTCCTGTTAAGCTCTTCAAACTCAGGCCCCCGTGAAATGCTTCCTTGTCTTCTGACTCGGTGAGCGCCCGCGGTCCCCAGCAGCTCAGCTCTGCTTCTCCTTGCTCACTCCCACGTCTGCTGGGTGCCCTGGTTCTGTCACATCTGCATCCCTAATGGCCCTCAACCGGTCCTCATCTACCTCTCGGCTCCGAGGTCATCTTAGTCCAGCTCACTTCCTGGACCCTTGAGAGCCTCCCACTGACCCCTGCTCCCGCCTCGTCATCTGCCTACAGTCTCGTCACCCCACCCCCTGCCTCCTGGCCCTGCTGCCCCAACCGCCACCCGCTCGCCTTGGCTCCCCTTGCTGTCTGTCCACTGGTGGACGCCCCGTTGGTTCACGCTTGGCCTCTCCACAGACCCGAGTGCTCACAGTGCGTGCTGAGCACTGCCTGGGCTGGTGGTTCCAGCAGAGCATCTTCTCCAAGGTCAGCCTTTGGTTGGTACCAGAAGTGGGGCTAGAACTCAGGCGGCTGCCTCTGCCGGCTTCTTCCCGTGAGGCCACTGGTCGTTTCTCTGATGCTTCTCTGGAATCCTGTGCGGCTCCAGACGCCGGCTGGGGCGAGTCTGTCTATTGCTTGGCACCAGGGCCCCTTAGGAAGTGGGACTGGAGTTGCGTCACGGCTCCATTTCTGTTTTTCTTGACTCCCTGGCAGGCATTTCGTAGCCTTTTAGAGGGCTCTCCATTCCACCCACTTGTGCAGAAGCCTCTGCTTTCTCTCAAATCCAGAGCAAAGACTTTCCCTGACCTGACTCTCCCAGACCTCACAGCTTGTGGCACACGCATGTCCACATGGCACCCGTGTTCACTACATGTCCGTGCACACGTCCCCACCAGGATCTGTATAAAATCATGTTTCCCCCTTCTCGGCTCTTTGTGCCACCTCTCAGCTTCCATGTGACATGCGTGGGTGATGGCCAAGTCCATGATGGGGCTGTGTGGATGGTGTGGCAGGTGGGACAATATGTGTGAGCGTTGGGTGTGTCAGAGGCAGGAGGTGTAAAAGTGCATTTTTTGGAATAGGTGACACACGTGTGTGCTTTGAAATTCAGGAGGTGCAGGGGGTGTTCAGGGGAAACCGTGTCTCGCCTCTCTTCGTGGTTCATCCCCTGTCCCTCCCGGTTCCCTCTGGGGTTGAGGCCGGCTTCTGTGTCTGGTAGAGCGATCGGCTCACTTCCTGCGTGTAGGTGTGTTGACTCCATCCATCCTGCTGAGTGGCGGCATGCCGTGGACGTGTTGGAGCAACTGAGTCATGCCAGCGTCAGGTGGGTCAGAGAGTGGCGCTCAGCTGTAGAGGTGTGCGCTACACACGGACATGTCTGCGACGCGCTACATACAACACCCATGTGGGACTTTTGTCTTTGTGCTGCATCTCGGAGCGTTCCAGGTCTGGACGTAAGTGCAGTCTGCAGGTCCCCCTGCCTGGCCGTTGGCTTCTGTCCAGTCTTTCGCTGCTGTGAACGATGCGAAGTGCGTATTTCTGTGCAAGTCGTTTGTCACCTGTGTGGTTGTATCTGAATGGATTAACAAAAGTGGAATTGCTGGACCAAAGGGTATTTACATTTTAAGTTTCCTGGACGGCACCAGTCAATGTCCATAGAGGCTGCACCAAAATGCTGCCCTAGCTGTGTTTCCGGATGCTTCTAGATCATTCCAACAATGGCTGCCAGCCCTCCTGACTGGCGTCTGACAGATGGACAAAGGCTTTTCCATTTCCCTCGTGAGTGAGGCTGACCCTTGCAGCGTGTGTTGGAGCGACATCTGGGTTTTCTTTTCTGTGAATGTCTGATGGTATTTTCTTTCCGACTGGAAGAACTCCTTTATTTTTTTTTAAGATTTTATTTTTTTCCTTTTTCTCCCCAAAGCCCCCTGGTACATAGTTGTATATTCTTCGTTGTGGGTCCTTCTAGTTGTGGCATGTGGGACACTGCCTTAGCGTGGTTTGATGAGCAGTGCCATGTCCGCGCCCAGGATTCGAACCAACGAAACACTGGGCCGCCTGCAGCAGAGCGCGCGAACTTAACCACTTGGCCACGGGGCCAGCCCCAGAACTCCTTTAGTTTAAAGGCGGCTCTTGTTGCGGTAGCAGTTGCAGATGTTTTACCTTTTCCTTTGTTTATGGTATGCTTTTCCTGGCACACATTTTTCTTTTTTGGTCATGTGTTTGAATGTACTGATCTCTTCCTTTGTGGCCTCTGGGTTTTGGTCATAATTAGGCCTCACTGACTCGGAGATTATTTTGTTGAAATTCTCAGGTGGTGTTTTCAAGAGATGTAACTTTTATTTTTAAGGCATAATCCACACTCCGTCATCTGTACTTGTGCAAAGCGTGTGGTTCAGCGGGTGCTGGCGGTGTGCGCCTGGGTGGCCAGCGCCTCCATCGAGATGCGCCGGCTCACGCCTCGGCCCAGGCCCGCCCCGCCCGGCACTGTAGATCACTGATGCCTTAACAGACTGTCGCAGGTGGAGTTAGAAAGGATGTGCTCTTGCACCTGGCTTCTTTTGCTCAGCATGATGGTCTTGAGAGTCATGCGTGTTGTGTGTGTCGGTAGCTGGTTCCTCTGTTGCTGAGTTGTCTTCTCTTCTGTGGCTGTTCCAGCTTATCTGTTAGTTCGCCTGTTGTAGACATTAAGGTTGTTTTGAGGTTTTAGCTCTGATGAATAAAGCCGCATTTAGAAGTCTTGATGTGGACATATGTCTTCATTTCTCTTGGATAAATGCTTCCAAGGGGATTTTTGTATATTTATAAAAACTGCCAAACTGTTTTTGAAAGCACATTCTCACTAGTTGTGTGTGAGAGTTCTTGTGCCCCCACGTGCTCACTGTCTCTGGATATTGTCTTTTTCAGCATGTTTATTGCAGGCTTTCCTGAGTACACACGACCCATGATAGACCATCTGGTTGCCATGAAGATCAACCACTGGGATGGGTAGGTTTTGGAAGATGTGTTCTGATTGGAAATATTTGTGCAAATATGAAATGTGCCTCCCATCTGTTAACTTGAGCCCTGTGAGATCCCTCACGTTCACCTCTGTCCTCTTCACGGTGCTTTCCCACGGCTCTGCCCAGTGCTGGCATCTCTGAATCACTTGGGGTGGGAGACTGGAGACCCGCCTTGCCATCCAGCTCCTCGGGGCTGGCGGCTGTGTCCTGAGACAGGCTGCACTCTGTGCTCTGTTCTGGTCAGTTCTCTCCTCCTCTGTTGCAGTCAGAGGTTAGTCATTTGTTTGTGTGTTTATTTTCGTTAGTGCTTTTGACTAAGGGGCCAGTTGACAACTCGTGTATACAGTCTGTCCTCTATTTCATGAGTCGAATAAAGCTAGAACCATCAAAATGAAGGAACTAACAATTTTCTCTGTCCCCACCCTCCAGGGTCATCAGAGAGCTCTCGGCGAAGGCGCTGTCTAACCTGGCCCAGCGAGCGCCTGAGTACAGTGCCACTCACGGTGAGTGTGCTCTGGCTGTCCCGTGGGTGCCTCTCCCACCACACGCGCGCACACACACGTGCACCTCAGACATGCACACACACACGGCAGGACACTGAGCACAGCCCCCTGCGGGTGTCGAGGCCTAGCGGGCTAGAAATAACATCGTGTTTCTCTCTTGCTGAGAAGTGCGTGCGGAACTGGTCTGTGCTTAATCGGGACAGGACACAAGCCAGTTGCCACGGCCTCTGCGAGGACAGACATTGTGAACACCGCATCTGTGTCCTGGGGGCAGGTGCCGGTCCCCGTGGGGCATGGACGGAGTGTGTTGTGCATCATGCGCGTTTCAGAAGTAGCCTTTTTTAAAGAACAAGTGAAGTAATTCATAGTGTAATATACTACAGAATAGGCTGCTTCCCTAACTCCCGGGTGGCTCCTGCGTGATTCGCCAATGTCTGTGGGACGAGCTTGAACTGGTGCCTCAGAGTCCTCGTCAGCGTGGAATCAGCCTGGGGGAGCACCGCCGAGTCTGAATTGATTACACTGTCATCACTGAGGAAGGAGCCCATGTGTCCCATCCTGTCCTTTCTACTTGGAATAGTTCAAATGTAGGGAACAATACACGAATTCCTCAAAATTATACTTATTCCCGCTGACATTTATTAGAGTGAGTAACTAGTAGTCGAATCATAGTGCCTCACTTAGAGTTATTGATTTTTCTTAGGTGTGTGTTTTACACTCTGGGGCTTTAAGATTTGGGGCCTCTTAGTCCCTAAGGGCCCTTTCAGCTTTGTGGTCTGTTAATTAACCTTACTCGGGAATCTTGCCTTTAATCAACAGTCTTTGCCTGCATGAAGGGGTGCTTGGTGTCATCCTTTCTGCCCAGGTCAAAAGTGTCAGCGGCCCCAAGATAGGGGATTCCCCGATTCTTCTTCTTCTTTTTTTTTTTTTGGAAGATTAGCCCTGAGCTAACTGCTGCCAATCCTCCTCTTTTTGCAGAGGAAGACTGGCCCTGAGCTAACATCCGTGCCCATCTTCCTTTACTTTATATGTGGGACGCCTGCCACAGCATGGCGTGCCAAGCGGTGCCATGTCTGCACCCGGAATCTGAACTGGTGAACCCCGGCCTGCTGAAGCAGAATGTGCGCACTTAACTGCTGCGCTACCGGGCCGGCCCACCCGATTCTTAAACGCTGATGGCTGCCAGCTGCAGGTTTGAGTGCGTGTGTGGGAGCTCTCCTGGCTTTTACACCCTCCACTGCATTTGTGCATTTGTGGAAGCTGAGGCTCAGGGCTGTGAGTCTCCCAGGCTGGCGGGGCAGAGCCAGCGTGGAGGTGGCTCCTCATCTGCACTTTCTGCCAGGCTATAAGGCTTCTGTGGCCTTGCTCTCTGGCCCCAGAGCACAGAAGGCTCAGAGGCTGCCTCTGCTCCAAGCAGGAGAGAACAGGCTCCTGAGCTGGGGCGCACCGCGTGTGCAATGGAGCACCCTCGGCTCGGCCTCTATCCTGCTCTGCCCACTTGATGACAGCAAAGACCTAGAAACAGCCTGTTTTCCTTTTTCCCTGCTCTCTGTTCTCGACCTGTGTCACCCACCCTGTGTCTGGGGACCCGGAGGGTGTGTGCTACTCGGGGTGCAGGAGGTGTCCTCAGTCAGGTCCCGCTCACTCCGAGCGCTGAGGAGTGTGGCATGTTGGTGACTTGAGGTTAAGTCCTGGATGTTGCAATAATGATCCTGACAGGATCACTTTCAGTAGTGCATTTCTCCCCTTGGATCCTGAATCCGCATGTCTACAAATTATCCTCTGTGTTCATGCCACGTGTCCTCCGCCCTTGTCCTTTGCAGTCTTCCCACGTCTGCTGTCGATGACGCAGAGTCTGGACCTGCACACGCGGCACGGGGCAGTGCTGGCCTGTGCGGAGGTTGCCCACAGCCTGTCCAGACTGGCAGTGCAGGAGGACAGGTGAGTACCACTCTCCCGCGGGACCCCATGGTGCTCGCGTTTGTTGTTTGTGTCCGTGTCCCGGGTCTGCAGGTCCCCACTGTTTATTTGACGAGGTTCGTCAGTGGTCCCCTCTCCTCTGACAAGCCGCATCCTCTGATGGAGCAGCCTCCCTCCGGGGAGCCAGGTGGGGCTGCTGATGGCCATGAGCGTTAAGCAGCTGTGCTCTCAGGCCGCCTCCCGCTGTCTGAGGTGGTGAGTCAGACTGTGACGGCAGAGGCAGTACTGAGTCGCTCACATAGTAGTCTTCGTTCATTTGTCACTTTTCATAATTTAAAATATCAGAGAATATAGAGGTAAAAGTTTCCACCAAGCACTTTTTCCGTTGGCGAAATTTGTGTGGATGAATAAGCTCACGATGCAGGCTCATTTGAGAAGTTTACGCTTGTGAGGACGTTTGCGAAGAACCACTCAGTTTTTCTTACTCTTCTCTCCACCCGACTTTTCCTCGAAAGTGAGAGTTCATGACGCATGTAATGTCTGTGACCTGGTTCTTGGACTCAGTGCGAGAACTGAGTCGTGTCGTGTCACTTTGGGTGGTTGCCTGGGGACAGAATGACAGTGAGACACCACCATGACCCCTCCTCTCACCAAGGGGCCCCGGAGTCTGGTCGTCTTTCGCCTCAGGCTCAGGCTCACAAGCACGGTCCGTTTCAAGGGAGTCTTGTGTGGGTGCAGTGGCCCCGGGGGCTGGGCCGAGGACCTGGCGTCACAGCAGTGCTCACCTGGCTGAGGAGAAGTCCAGGGGAGACCAGGCGTGATTGCCCTCCCAGTGCAGCCACACGGGTGCACCTCATTTGCTGGCACGCAGTGTGACAACACGTATGCCATGTCACCCACCAGGGAGGGTCAAGGGACCAGTGCCCAGGGTTCATGGGGGACTGGTCATGTGGGTATTCTGTCTGGTATGTGCTAAAACTCCAGACTCCCAGAAGGAAAGCAGGCTTCAGCATAAGCCTCGTGCTTTGTACAAGCAGTCTGGGTGCAGGGAGCCACCCTCATCGTTTAGGGAACGGTAGGAACCCTCCTGAGATCCAGGTTTCTGGTGCCAGTGAGGGCCAGCCTCGTGAGCAGGCCTTCACAGGATGGCGAGGGGCCACTGGGCGAGCTCCTCTCTGGCCACAGGCCCTGCTCTCAGCTCAGCTGTCCTGTCTCTTTTCCAGAGCTGCGAACCTGGCTGCTCCCTGCCCCAGGGCCCTCAAGTGCTCCCCATCCCCAGGGCCCTCAAGTGCTCCCCGTCCCCAGGGCCTCAGTGCCCCCAGTGCTCTCAGTGCTCCCTGTCCCCAGGGGTCCCGGCTCTCAAGCTGGCCTCCTTCTTTCCTTGTTGCAGGACTGTTTCCTTTGTCAGCAGACTGCTGCCTCTGTCAGAGCTTTCCAGTGAAGGTCCTTCCGTCACCCCCTTGAGTGGACGCTGCTTTGGGGGAGTCCCCTGCAGGTGTTTAGGGGAGCTGACGGGCCCCAGACAGAATGCAGGCCCGAGCCGTGGCTTCCTTGGTTCTCATTGTCCTCCGCCTCTCACAGGTTGTGCTTGACCTTCCACAGGCCCGTCGCGGACTACCTGGACGAAACAGTGGTGCAGGGCCTGAAGCAGATTCACCAGCAGGTCCGTGTGCAGTGCTGGAGCGTGCCCCTTTCTCGAAGCCTCTCGGAGCCTGGCCACCTGATCGCTAGAGCTCTCTCCACTCTCCTCAGCCCCATGTGAAGCCCTGGGGTCTGATGACCAGAAAGCTTCCCGCTGAGGACCGGTCCTGGGGCCTGTTGGCTGACCTGGGCTCTGTCCGCTCAGAGCGGCTCTCTCCATCAGCTGCTCTCTTGTGGCCGATGCCTTATGGGTTTGTCTGGATGGGAAGAAATCTCAGAGAAAGTGAGCTTCTCAGAGTTTCTTCTCATGTGGCCAAAGTGTCCTCAGGGCAAGACAGAAGTTGACTAATGGCCAGCGTAGTCTGGGTGTTGCAGATAGCACTCAGCTCCCGTGTCCAGTCCTTGTCTATGTCTCATGGTGCCCGCCGTCCTCCTCCTTGGGGGAGCTCAGCGACTCAGGGCGCATTCCCTGCCTTTGGTCGCAGAGGCGGCCTGTTCTCGTGGAGATGGCGCGTAGGATAAGCACGAAGCCCTTTGATTCCCAACTCTGCCTCTAGGCGGGAATCTTGAGTCTGAATTACACCCAGAATTTTTGGGTGCACTTCTCTGGGGAGAGGGTGTGTGTATTTTTCTGGGTTTGTGAGATTCTCAAAGGCATCTGTGACTCCAGGTAAAGTATGAGCTCTGGGTGCTAACGTTACAGGAAAACATGAGAATCACGAGGATTTAACGGCTTTACTGTTTGTTGTTCTGCGTGAAGTTTTGTATTTTTCCAGATTTTCCCCTTCGTATAAAAATACACCGTTTTGATTTCAAACCCTTATCCTATTAGCGTGTTAACTCGGTTTGTGATTTTGGCAAAGCTGTTTAGTCTGCTTATTTAATCTCCCCCTTTTGAAGCGGAGCCTGGCGCTCACGTCTGACTTTTAGGCCCAGTGTGTGGGTGTGCGAGTGTCACACCGGCAGTGGTGTAGATCCCGAGACTGGGCTCCTCCTCCTGTGAAGTGTGGGCAACGACACGCCCACGTCCTTGCTCGTTTGGGGATTAGAGACTGCGTTTAGAGTGTCCGTGGAGTTTGGCACAGTGAACCTTCAGTAAATTTTAGCTGCAATGGCAGTGGCGATGCTGTGAGGCGCTTCTGAGTTTTTCAGAAGAAAAAGGATCATCAGAACCCGGGTTGGAATGCTTAGTTTTCTTCCTGAGAGGCCGTCTCGGGGAACGGTTATGAATTGGACCCTGGGGCCAGAACGCGGGTCAGTCCTGGCTCCCCTCACTGGCTGTGCCTCAGTTTCCCTCCCAAGTGGGAAAGTGGGCTGTCGTGAGGGTTCGGTGAGATGGTACTTGTCAGGGGCCTAGTGAGGGGTGAGCCCTCACGGAGTGGAGAGGCTCCGTGCTTGGGTCTTGCAGTCAGCTCTGAGGCCAGCCCAGCTGAGGCGCCTCCTGTACCATTTTCTCCTTGTTCTTGGTTTGATGCCCATTAATATTGTATACCTCCTGTGTTATTTTAAAAACACAAATAACTTACATAACTAAAGAACTTTCAATTCTTTATCTTTAGCTTTACGATCGTCAGTTATACAGGTAAGCTTTACAAACCTGAAGTTCTTATGATTTGTGTCTAATTGAAGAAAATGCACTGTCAGTAAAGGTTGGGTGGTCCGGTCACGCTTTTCAGCAGCTGAGTTGTGAGGCTCCTATTGAATCGTCCTGCCTGATGTCTGCACTGAGCTTCTTTGATTGTGCAGGTGTTAGCGCTGCTTACAGTCAAGAGATAGGAAAAGTCGCATTGGTATTTTTAAGTTTTGTTGAGGTTTCTTGACATGTAAGGCTGGCTCGTCCTGATGGTTGCAGACAGTCGTGTGGCCACAGCCACGACAGAGCAGCCAGCGTGGCTGACAACCCCCCAGCCCGGCAGCCCCGCCATCTGCTCTCTGTCACCATGGCGCTGCCTTTTTTAAATTTCATGAAGATGGGATCATACTATGAAGTCTTCGGGGTCTGGTTTCTTTCACTTCACGTGATGTTTCTGAGATTCATCCGTGTTGCTGCGTGTGCAGTGTGTGTTCCCACGCACTGCTGTGTGGTTTCCGGTGGTGTGCATGTGCTTGGTGTGTTTCTCTGCTCGCCGGGTGGTGGACGTATGAGTTGTATCAGCTCTTGGCATTAGGGTAAAGCTGCTGTGGACACTGGTGCATGAGTCTTGGTGTGCACTTGTGCTTTCCTTTCTCCGGGGTGAATCCCTCAGAGCGGTGGTGCTGGGTCGTGTGGCACATGTGTGTTTTTAAGACACTGACAGACCTTGTGAAACAGCTGTGCCGTGTTCCTCCCACCAGCTGCAGGTGAGAGCTGTCTGTGTTCTTGTTAGCACTAGGTGTGGACAGTCTTAAATGGAGGCGTTCCCGTGGGCCACTTTGATTTGCATTTCCCTGGTGACTTGTGACCTTGATCTTCTCCTGTGATGACAGGTCATCCTCTATCTTCTTCCATGCAGTGAGTGTTCAAATCTTTTGCTCATTAAAAAAATTTCATGGTCTGTCTTCTTCTTACTGAGCTGTCAGTTTTCTTTACGTATTTGGGATGTGAGCTCTTTGTAGACATATGGTTTGCCAGAATTTTGTCCCAGTCTCTGGCTTGCCTTTTCATTTTTCTTAATGGCTTTTTAATGTAACTGTGTATGGTAGCATCAGCCTGTTCTCATTTTTGCCGCCTCCTGCCTCCAGTGTTCCGGACAGCCTCCCGCCGTCTCCAGCCTCCCTTCTCCAGAGCTCAGGCCAGGGTCTTCCCTCTGGAGCCAACCGGATGGTCTGTGTAGTCGCTGGTGTTGCCATTTGTTGACTTGGGGCCGCTCTGAGTTGGTGCTTATCGTCTACAGTTGGTCTCCTTTAAGTCTCTGCCCCTGTTTTATTTCAGAATCCCCTTTTCTGGACAAGTCTGTCCCTGGTGAGACTGCACAGGTGCTGCCTCCGTTCCCACTAACAGTCAGACCTTCCTGTCCCACGGACCACCCGTGGCTGAGCGAGCCTGTAGACCTGAGCAGGGCTCATCCACATCCTGCGAGTGTCTCTGGGACGTGGTTGGTGTGGAGGTGTGCCAGGCTTTGGCTTTCTCAGCGACTGCCTTCACTTGCTGGGCACTGCCTCTGTGCCGTCCTACAGGTGCATGTCTGCCGGGACTTGCGGCTCTGCTTCCTTTCAGAGTGCACATTAGTGGACTTGGGCCAGAAGCACCTGGTGGAGCCTTGCGTGGACCCAGACGGACAGGACTCACTGTGGGTGGGCAGGAGGGCGGGCTCTGCCTTCAGCACGAAGGTGACCATTCTGGGGTCAGGCTTTCCTTGGTAGCTTGTGAGGAGGGGCCTGCACCTTGGTAGGCCTGGGGCGGACTCTGCTGCTGCCATTCCCACGGGAGCCCCCAGGGGCTGAGCCCCTGCGATGCAGGCTGCTCTCGGCGATTGCTCTGACACAGCCAGCATTTCCTCTGTTTTAACAGAGAGAAAGGAGTAACTCACCCTCATATAAAACCATGTTCGTTTCTTTCTGATGAAATGGCTTGGACTCCACTGGACTAAAGAGCCACGGTTCAGAGCTGGCAGGGAACCACATGCAGATGGCCGCCACAGGGCGACTGAATGCGCGTGTTAGGCGCAGCTTTATCTGGAAGCTGTAGGCTTCTGACATCTGCCAGCATCTCACAGATTCTAAACGTGCATGTGCTCTTTGTTTGTTTTTAGGGATGGATCTTAAGAACAAGTAGACAATAACACTCTTCAGTGAGGTCAGTGTGGAACAGTCAGACGTGGGCCCTCCCTGTGCTGCAGTGGCTCTCCGGGGACCCAGGCCTGGGTGCCACTGCATTGTTTATCCACTTTGTGCCACCCCCACACACATCCCGGCCAGAGGCCCCAGTCAGTGACCACAGGAGCGAGGTCACATCACCCCTGCAGTTGGTTGCAAGTGGGTGTTATACCCACATCCACTCATTCTGAGCTCTCATATCCAAGGTAATCCCATTATTTCCTTGGAATATTGTTTTCTTATTGTGACTTTGGGGATCCCTGAGACCACCGTCAGGCTTGGTGACATGCTGGAAGGATGCAGAACTCAGCAAAGCCGTTACACTCACGGCTGTGGCCACTGCAGCCACACACAGGTTAAATAGCAGCAGAAGAGGCCCACAGGGCAGAGTCCAGGGAGACCAGGCACAAGCTTTCCATTTTCCCTTCCCAGTGGAGTCATGCAGGCGGCCCTGAACCCTCCCAGCGGCCACTCAGGACACACGCACGGCTCTTGCCACCTAGGGGGGCCCACCTGAGCCTTGATGTCCAGGGTTTTTATCAGGTGGAGCTGATTCTGTGTAGCCCACCTGCCAGCAAAGACCACCCATCAGGGCCCAAGGCCCAGGTGCACAGAGAACTCCTGTGCGGCACAGCATCCTGGGGGCTCAGAGGCAACCTCCCTGCAGCTGGGACAGAGCATCAGACCTTTCTAGCCACGGCCTCCATCTTCCCCGGAAAGTGACCCTGGCTGTGGAGCAAACCTCCTCTGCCTTGGAGGAACCCCTTAGGTTCAGCCCGGGGCTAGAGCTGTGTGTCCATGTGACCGCAGAGCCCCCGGCACCAGCAGGAAGGAAGCAGAACCAGAGCATCCCGGGGGTTCTGACAAGCTAATGGGGTGCTGTCCCTGTGACACGTGAGTTGTCAGTGCTGGCCCGCCGGGCGGGGTTGTGCTGGGAGGTCTGCTGTGCGTGGTGGGAGCTCTGAGCACTCGCTGTGTCCAGCAGGGTTGAGGGAAAGCTCATTCCCTGTTGGGCAGAAGGGGAGGGCTGGGAGTCCTAGCCAGGCTGCACTGGTGCCCGTGGCCCACTGGGAACCGAGTTCTGAAGCCCAGCACCTCTGAGGGGCCCGGTGCTCTGGAAGCCCTGGGTTGAATTTCCTGTGACACTTGAGTACATGATGGCATTATTGCTTGTGATGGCCACAACGCAGTCCCTGCATGTCACCCAGCAGTGGCAGGCCCTCCTGTAGGAGCGGTGACAGGCCGTCATTTGCAGGACAGAAGCACAGAAGTCTTAAAGCAACGTGGACTCTGAGTAAATGGAAACGGCAGCTCATGTAGTCAAGTGAAGATGGATCTTGACCTTGGAGTGGGACATGAGATGTATATGCGAGAGGCATGCGGAGGCAGCCCCCAGGGTGGGCCATCACTGTGGCCCCAGCCCCATGCTGTGGTCCCCCAGGGAGTGTGCGCCTGTCCCTTCTGTGAGTAAAGCTGAGGCCCCTTGGAGACTCCTGATTCAGTTGTCCTGTGAGGGCTGCCCAGCTGTCCTGGGAGCAGCGGCCGTGGGCCCCAGGGCGCCGGGTCTCCTTCGTCTCTGCATGGCTCTCCCTGTGCTTTCTCACTGATTTGAGTGCCATTAGGAACTGCGTTCTCTGTGGTTTACTGTCCTCAGAAAAGGCTCCCTGGGAGAGGGTGTAGCAAGGACTGCTTTTCTCTCACTCCCAGTGTTTTATCTTGAATTATGGGCCTAAACAAAATTTAAAGAATAGTGTAGAGAATACCTGTACCCCTTTTCCCTGGCTTCATCAGTTATTAACATTTTGACCGTTTGCTTTGTCTTAGCTAGTGGGCTTCTCTCTCTGTACTGTTTGTTTTTCTTTGCAGAAGCTAAGTTGTAGGCATGATATTTCAGCTCTAAAACGTGAGGATGAGTTGTGGGAGAGCCTTCTCCTGTGTAACCTGCACCATCGTTCTTCACAACCACAGTGTCAGCACCAAACCCACGGGCGTCATGGTGAGCCCAGGTCCTCCAGTTGTCCTCTGGTGTTTTCGTAGCGCCCCTACCCCCACCAGCCGGGATCTGCTCAGCGTCACAGACTGTGTTGGATAGTGTTCAGTCCCTGCTCTTCTGTTTTTCATGAGATAGTCTTTTTTGAGAGTTTGGGCCAGTTGTCTTGTGTAATCTTCTGCATTCTGGGTTTGCCAGGTTGTTCCACAGTTAGGTCTGGCGTAACCACAGTGTGGCTGCATGGCTGTGTGGATACTTGTGTTGGCCACGCGGGGTGCATGCTGGTCTGGTTGTCCCCTAGCGGAGGTGCTGAGTTTGATCCCTGGTGCAGGTGGCCTCCAGAAGATCAGATGAGCCAGTGGGAGGTGTGTCCTCTCGGCTGGGGAGCGAAGCGGTGCGGGGCTTTGGGCTGTCTGAGTCCCCGCTTTCCTTCCCTCCTTGCCTGACTCAGGGTGCTTGTCCGATCCCCTCATTCTTTCTACGTTGTGACTTGGAGTTTGTGTGGGAAGAACAACTTTCCCTCTCACCCCTCGGCTCTCTCTGATGTGTCCCTGAGACTCGTGGGTGCTTTTTGCCCCCAGTGTGTGGTAATTCATTAGCATCATTGTTACTCTTTTTCTTGCTCAGATTGTCCCATATTTGGCCACAGGAGCTCGTTTGAATTGACTCCGCTGTCAGTTTTACATGATCCTCTTAGTCTTTCAGCATTTCTTTGTAGCAAGATCTGTTTAAACCTCTTGCTTTTTATTATTTTGGTTTTTGTTCCGACTGCTGTTAGTTGCATTCTTCTTTTCGGATTCGTGTTTATTTCCTAAAGTTCCATCTGTGTCTCTTTGTACCTTTCCTTTCTCTCCTCTTCATGCCTGTTTCCCTCTGCCTTCCTGGACATGTGGAGCCTATAATAGCTGTCTTATTGACCTTGCGTGCTGACTCTGTCTTCTTGGACGTTTCTGTGTCTGGTTATGTTGGTGGGTTTTCTTGCACTTGTGTCGGTGCCGGGCTGCATGAGGCTCTCGTTGCTGGACTTGGGTCTTGTTGCACTCCTTCTGACAGTGCTGGCTGTGGCTTTCTGGTAGGCATTAGGTTGGTTGGACTCCCTTGGGTCCTTTCCAGGCCTGCTCTGAAGCCCTGTGGCAGGTCCAGGGCAAGCTTGCTGACTGCTGCGGCGCTCCCTCGAGAGGATTCTGCCTGTGTCTCGTGCGTGACCGGGCATTGCTGCTCTGGCTGCCGGGGGCTCTTCCCACCCCATGTGGGCTCCAAAAGCGTCCTGCCTTCTACCTCCAAGCGTTTCTTTCCTCTCAGGCTCAGCTAGTGTCTTCTCTTGCATGTCAGCTCACAGTCAGCGCCCGGGTTGAGGGGACCCCTGTGGAGCTCCAGAGCTGTCTGTCTGCTGCTCCCTGGCCCCTCAAATTCCAGCACCTGGGCCTCCCCACCTTCCCTCTCGAGCTCCTTGACTCAGAAGGGCAGGGGCTCCCCTGGGCTTCGCTCCTTGCTCTGCGTCTGGAGCCATCCTCAGGCTGTGCCCTGGGGCCCTAGGGCTCCGTCCGCTTGCTTTCCTCCTCCCGGGACCTCTGTTTTTCAGCATCTGAATCTTTGTTTCATATATTTCACCCAATTTTCTAGTTGTTTAAGGCAGGAGGGCAAATCTGGATCCTGTTATTCTCTCTGGGGCAGAAGCCAGAGTCTCATAAATTAATTTTCTGTCTTCTCGTCTGGGTGTTTCTTTATTCCTGTTTACCAATTTCCAGTTGTCAGTGTCAGATACTAATTAGGTATCTAGAACAGGCAGGATTTCTTCTCCTGGTTTTGTTTATGACGGAGCATTAGTGGATCTCTTCCCTGGACTAGATGATGGTATCTTTTTGGTGTCTTAAATTCCTTTAGTCCTTACAGAGTGAGGGTTGAGCAGTATTTGGAATTTGTTTTGTGTGAGTGTATGATGCGATTAATCCCAGTAAGCATTGTATCCAGTAAAAACTGAAGATCAGAATAACCCCAGTTAGGAGTCGAGACATCTGGAAGCTGGTTACAGCACGTGTTTTCAGATCTTTTCATAAAAAGTAGTTCATACTTGTCATAAAAAAGCAACTAGTTAACATCTTCATTTTTCTTGAAGCCTGAGCTTACAGCTGTTACATGGTGATGATGTTCTGTGTTGTTTTGTATAGTATCAGATTTTAACCTGCATGTTCTCGTTGCTTTTCAGGGGTCTGGGAGGAGAACTCATGAGACAAGCAGGTAGGTGTGAATGATGGACGGCTGCAGGGTGCTGGTGGCGATCCTTTATTCCTGCCGTTGAGGGAAGGAAAACGTCCCAGGGTGTTTACCTCAATTTTTTCAGTACTGTGAACTTTCCTGAGTGTGTCCTTTCGCAGAAACAAGTGGCTGGGTGGTTTTCTCCGTCAGAATTACCGCCGCACACGTTAGCCTGGCCTGCAGAGACGCTGGCCCATCTCCGCTGCTCCCACTCCTGTGCGTCCACTTGAGGCTCCCATCTTCCGCTCCTGGGGGTTTTGATGTGTTTCAGTAGCCACAGGGTTGGCGGTGGCTGGGGTCAGATGGGTGAGCGGAGGCACAATTTGTCTTTCATGAGGGCAATAAAGTTAGGGATGTTGAACGTCGCTGTCTTTCCCTCTTCATTACAGTATTTAAACTAAATGTCACTGTAGAGCAAAGAGCAATTTTTCAGATTATAAATATAATCTGAATTATAAATATAATATTTGCAGGGAACTCAAATGATGCCAAGAAGCAAATATCTAGATTTCCTGAATCCTTTGAGCTAAACCTACTAGAAAACCCAGGACTCATGCGCTTGTCTGGTGGACGTTAATCAGCTGGTGGTCCTGGCATTTGGCAGGCCCAGGTCCAGGAGAGTCCCTCTCCCAGAGCAGGGTGGGGTGGTGGTAAGTGGGCTCCCATGTGACAGACGTACTCTTGGTGAGCTGGGGGCCAGTGGTGGGGACCTGTTAACATGCTGCAAGGCCAGGCTGGTGGGTGAGTGGGCAGCAGCTCTAGCCCTTACTCGCCAGCACGCCCCTCCTGCTAGGTGGAAGTCGTTTGCTGAGGTCAGCCTGAACTCCTGGTGCTCACTGCAGCCCTGGCCTCCCCTCCTGGGGCCTTCGGTGTGTGTGGCTGTCTGTCTTTCCTTCCTGGCTTCTGAAACGTTGTGCTCCGCTGGCTCTCGCTGTTCCTCCTGACCTGCTTCCCATGTACTGCCCCACCCAGCTCGGTCCCCCCAGGGCTGTCTCTGTCCCCTGTGCCCCTCCAGGAGTGGCAGAGTCTGGCAGCAGCCCCCCGACCCAGTAGAGATAGTGTACAGATCCTTGGAACAACTGCAGAGACAGTCTCCCTGTGCTTCCGGAACATCCCTGGACCCAGACCTCAGGCCTCCCACATGCTGCTCTGCGGCGTCGGTGCTGCCCTGTGTTCTGCTCTTCATGGCCAGCCTGTCCCCAGTCAGTCTCCAGCTCAGATGGCAGCAGTAACTTCATGCGCATCTGGCATGTCATTCCTCTGTCAGAGGAGGAGCAGCGTGGCGAGGGGTGGCCCAGGGAAGAGGGGGATGGTCCTGGCTGGTGGGAGGGTATCAGGGGTTCCAAGCAGCCACACGGCTGAAGTGTGCTGGGTTCTCGGGGAACGAGGTGTTTCCTCCAGGCAGTGGGCAGTGTGTGTGGGGTGAGTCTGGGTAGGACAGAGCATGGGGAGTGAGGGTGCAGTGAGGGGGTGGGCGGTACCTCTTGGGGCCGTGGCCGGTTGTGGCGAAGGTCTTGAACTGTACTGGTGCAGAGGCTGGGCAGGGGTCTGTGCCCCCAGGATTGTTCTGCATGTGAGTCAGACTACACAGGAGAGCACTTCCAAACCTGGAAGCAGAAGTCCTGGGCTCCTGGGATCAGGTTGAACAGCGATGTCATCAGCAGGTAGTCCATCTTGTTCCATATGCTTATCACTTCTGCGCTAGGAACTGACTGGTGTTTGCTGTTTCAAAGTAGACCAGAGGTGACGTCACTGTGCTTGGAGGTACAGGAGACCCCACAAAGGCTGTGTTTGCCTGTCTGGTGGCGGGGGCGGGGGCATGCACACACATGTCTGTATAAGCATGGGCAACAAACATTTAACAGCAAGAGGTGATAAAAGCAGCCAAGGAGAACCATCTATCTGACTTATTTCACTTAACATAATTCCCTCAAGTTCCATCCATGTTGTTGCAAATGGGACAATTTTGTTCTTTTTTGTGGCTGAGTAGTATTCCATTGTATATATACACCACATCTTCTTTATCCAATCATCTGTTGATGGGCACTTAGGTTGCTTCCATGTCTTGGCGATTGTAAATAATGCTGCAATGAACATTGGGGTGCATGGGACTTTTGGAGTTGCTGATTTCAGGTTCTTTGGATAGACACCCAGTAGTGGGATAGCTGGATCGTATGGTAGTTCTATTTTTAATTTTTTGAGGAATCTCCATACTGTATTCCATAGTGGCTGCACCAGTTTGCATTCCCACCAACAGTGTATGAGGGTTCCTTTTTCTCCACAACCTCTCCCAGCATTTGTTACTATTTGTTTTAGTTATTTTTGTCATTCTAATGGGTGTAAGGTGGTATCTTAGTGTAGTTTTGATTTGTATTTCCCTGATGCACAGTGATGATGAACATCTTTTCATGTGCCTATTGGCCATCTGTATATCTTCTTTGGAGAAATGTCTGTTCATGTCTCCAGCCTATTTTTTGATCAGGTTGTTTGATTTTTTGTGAACCATCCCTGTGTCCCTGGTATGAATCCCACTTGATCATGATGTATGATCCTTTGGATGAATTGCTGAATTCCGATTGCCAAAATTTTGTTGAGAATTTTTGCATCTATGTTCATCAGCGATATTGGCCTGTAGTTCCCCTTTTTTGTGCTGTCTTTGTCAGGCTTTGGTATCAGCGTGATGTTGGCCTCGTAGAATGTGTTAGGAAGTGTTCCATCCTCCCTAATTTTTTTGGAATAGCTTGAAAAGGATAGGTATTAAATCCTCTCTGAAAGTTTGGTAGAATTCCCCAGGAAAGCCGTCTGGTCCTGGGGTTTTATTCTTTGGGATGCTTTTGATGGCTGTTTCAATCTTTTTCCATGTGATTGGTCTGTTCAAATTGTCTGCTTCTTCTTGAGTGAGCTTTGGGAGATTGTAGGAGTCCAAGAATTTATCCGTTTCCTCTAGGTTATCCATTTTGCTGGCATATAGTTTTTCGTGGTATTCTCTTATAATCCATTGTATTTCTGTGGAGTCTGTTGTTATTACTCCTCTTTCGTTTCTGATTTTGTTTATTTGAGCTTTCTCTCTTTTTTTCTTTGTAAGTCTGTCTAGGGGTTTGTCAGTTTTATTTATCGTCTCAAAGAACCAGCTCTTTGTTTCATTGATCCTTTATACTGCGTTTTTTGTTTCAACAGCATTTATTTCTGCTCTGATTTTTATTATTTCTCTCCTTCTGCTGACTTTGGGCTTTGTTTGTTCTTCTTTCTCTGATTCAGTTAGGTGTAGCTGAAGATTGCTGATTTGGGATTTTTCTTGTTTGTTAAGAAGTGCCTGAATTGCAATGAATTTTCCTCTTCATACAGCTTTTGCTGCATCCCATATGAGTTGGTATGGAATGTTATCATTTTCATTTGTCTCCAGGTGTTTTTTGATTTCTTCTTTAATTTCTTCAACGATCCATTGCTTGTTCAATAGCGTATTGTTTAGTCTCCACATCCTTGTGCCTTTCTCAGCTTTTTTCTTGTAATTAATTTCTAGCCTTACAGCATTATGATTGGAGAAGATGCTTGTTATTATTTTAATTCTTTTAAATTTGTAGAGGCTTGCCTTGTTTCCCAACATATGGTCTATCCTTGAGAACCTTCCATGCGCCCTTGAGAAGAACGTGTATTCTGCTGTTTTTGGATGGAGTGTTCTATATATGTCTATTAAGTCCAACTGTTTTAGCTTTTCGTTTAGCTCCCCTATTTCCTTGTTGATTTTCTGTCTGGATGATCTGTCCATTGATGTGAGTGGGGTGTTGAGGTCCCCTACTATTATTGTGTTATTTTTAATATCTTCTTTTAGGTTTGTTAATAGTTGCTTCATGAACTTTGGTGCTCCTGTGTTGGGTGCATAGATATTTATAAGCGTTATTTCTTCCTGATGAAGTGTCCCTTTGATCATTACATATTGGCCCTCTGTGTCTCTCTTTACCTGCCTTATCTTGAAGTCTGTTTTGTCTGATAGAAGTATTGCGACACCTGCTTTCTTTTGTTTGCTATTAGCTATTAGCTGGGAGTATTGTCTTCCACCTCTTCACTCTGAGCCTGTGTTTGTCCTTGGAGCTGAGGTGTGTTTCCTGGAGACAACAAATTGTTGGATCTTGCTCTTTAATCCATTTTGCCACTCTGTGTCTTTTTATGGGGGAGTTCAGTCCGTTTACGTTGAGGGTGAGTGTTGATGCATGAGGGCTTAATGCTGTCATTCTGTTGCTCGTTTTCCGGTTTTCCTGTGTTTCCTGTGTTTCTCGTCCTGTGTGTTTTAGCCTGTCCGTTGACTTCTGCAATTCCTTATGCTGGGTTTCTTAGGTTTTTCCTTATTTATGTTTTGTGTCTCTGTTCTGTTTTTTAGTTTAGTGGCTACCCTGAAGTTTGTATTCAGAATCTTGTGTATAACATAGTCCATTTTCTGGTGGTCTCTTCCTTCCTTAGCCTAGACTGTTTCAGCCCCTTTCCTCCTCCCCTCCTAAATTATTATTTTCATCTCTTATTCCAACTTGTGTTGTGAGTTTGTGGTTAGAGTGATGATTGTCTTTGCTTTGGTGATTTCCTTCCCTTTATCCTAATGCTGTAGTTGAATATTTGCTATCCTATTCCGATTCTATCTGTTTGTCTCCCTACTCTGTGTTTTGTGACCCCTTTCTCCCTTTTTTTCTTATGTCAGGTGTGAGAGCCTTCTTGAGGATTTCTTGTAGTGGAGGTCTTGTGACTACGAAGTCCCTTCGCTTTTGTTTGTCTGGAAAAGATTTAATTTCTCTCTCATATCTGAAGGATATTTTTGCTGGATAGAGTATTCTTGGCTGAAGATTTTTATCCTTTAAAATTTTGAATATGTCACTCCCATCTCTCCTAGCTTGTAAGGTTTCTGTAGAGAAATCCACTGAAAGTGTGATAGGGGCTCCTTTGTAGGTTACTTTCTTCTGCCTTGCTGCCCTGAGTATTCTTTCTTTGTCCTTCAT